ACTATTTCCGCCTTTGGGTTCATTCCATTGTGACCACTATGCGAGTGACCCGCCCAGGGCTGACCATTTGAATTAGTGCTTAATATACACACTAGTGTCATATACAACACATTCATTATGCTAATTTCAATTACTTTTAACTTATTTTATCGTAAAATAATTGATTAAATATTTATAATTAATGAAAATCTCTTCGTTATTTGAATTACAAATTAATAATATGTTCTCAAAACTTGTGTTTGAGTTGTTTAAGACATTGTGTTTATTACTGACTTATTTACAATTGAAGCTTTAATATAATAAAAAGTATTGTTTAATTTATTTAATACATTTCTTGTTAAAACTTTGTGACACTTGTATAGCAATAATTGTATATAAATTTGAAGAATAAACTAATTTATTTTGGAGGACAGAAATGGCATGAAATACGGAAGGGATCTCTAAATAATTGATGATGAGTTTGCCCTTCAATTATTATTTCAACAAAACTAAATACCCAATAAATTTATTTAAACATTAATTATATATTCCTTAAATTCCTTTAAAAACTAATTATGGATTAAGACTTAAATACAGTATTAATATATTAATACAAATATTTAAACACAATAACTAACTAGTAAGTTATAATAAAATAGTTCTTTCAAAATAATAAGATAATATGATATCCTTATCATGTTTTAAATATTTGATATTAAACATAATTTAATATAAACTCATTTAAATGATTGTATATTTATATATAAAATAAATCAGTATTTATAAATAGAAATTGTATATAATTTAAATCATTTTATTGTTACAAATATAACAACTACATTCATTAATTAGCATGTCTTGAAAGTTGTCCAAATAATGATAATATAATTGGTTATTTATGACTTAAGCTGCATTTCCCTGATGGTAGTGATGATGCTTTTCTCTGCCAAAAATAAGATACATTGCATGAATGACACCCGGCAGCCAACCCAGACATGTGAGCAATATATTGATCAATAGATCGCAACCACAGCCCGACTCCGCGCACACACCGAACGGCGGGAAAATGACGGCCAAAACTACTTTACAGCACTCGCCTCCCATTCCGACACTTTTGATTTATAATATACTAAACACTTCAACAATT